CTCTCTCAATGTGGAGTTCTTGGGAAACAGACATGTCATAGGTAAACCTTATCCATTCGGTCACCATTTACTCCCTAAGATGGAAGGAAGATGATTTATAGTTTAAAATTGGCTGCTAGACAAAGTAGAAAAATGGAGGATATAATCACAGACCCATAATGGAATTTTGTATTTGAGAGATGACCAGATCTGCTTTTTATTCTCTGTGGTCAATGCCAAATTGAAACTTTTCCTTTCTTCCAATGATTTTACTTCTTGAGTACTGTGCATATATGCCTTCGTTACACTAACCTACAGCCTAATGGATCTGGAGATGCAGTTATTTATAGATTCCAGCTTATTCAAGGAGCAGCTGCAAGAAGTCTACAAAAGGAGAACATCACCGTAACCTGCCTGTGACCCTGCATTAGTTGCCAGGAAGGTGTGGAATTTTGAATCTTAGAGGGTGCCTTGTTAAGTGCACTAAAAGCTTATATTGAAAGAACTGACAGATTTTTTAAAATTGGGGTTTTTTTGACACTTTAAATTCTTATATGTTCTAGTGTTCAAGAAAAATCCCACCCTTCTCACCCCTGCAGTCTTTAGCTTTCAAATCTCCAACCTTTAAGATCAAACCTCGGAACTGAAATTTTTTCCTTTGTTCCTTTATTGCTTCCTTTTTTTCCTTTTTTCTTCATTTTTACTCCTTCCTTCCTTCCATACATGAATTCATTTGAAAATATGTATAAAATATTTATATTTTATATATAATTTAAAATATATTTTATAAATTTATAAATTTTATATATCTGTATATCTTTATATACACGTGTGTGTGTGTGTGTGTGTGTGTGTGTGTGTGTGTGTGTGTAGAGAGAGAGAGAGAGAGAGCATGTACCACATTCCAGGTACTTTGCTTGCTAGCTGCAGGGTATGCAAAGATGACTGGTTTCCTTAATCATCCTAAGCTTATAGTTTTTTGAGGGAGAAAGAGAAAAATAATGAATGAGAATATAAGTGACAAGTACTTGTGTAGAGAAAGTGTAGAGTGCTATAGAAACATAGAGGAGGGAACACATTTCTCCTTTGTCTTCTTGCCTTAAAGGGAAAACTGAAAAAATACCTAGAATAGGAATGGCATCTCTCTTCAGGTACACTGCAGTGTAATGTATATTGTGACACCTTAGAAAAAAGTTCAGTGATTTTATAAATATAGACAGTCCCCCAATTTAGAATGGTCCAACTTATGATTTTAGAATGTAAGTGACCCCACTGTAAGTCAAGGAGCTCCTTCTGACTTATAATGGGGTTACAGTTTCTACTAAATGTGCATCACTTTCACTCCATCATAAAGTTGAAAAATCTTAGCATTAAATGCACTTTCGCCTTACAGTATTTTTGACTTAATGGGTTTATTAGGATGTGATCTCATTGTAAATCAAGGAGCATCTCTATATGACTAAAAGTTAGATATTAAGGAAGACCTTTTTGAATTTATGGATTTGATACTAAAAGCCATAGGATTCACACATACCTGAACTGATCTTTGCCCAGCTCCATCATCTGTTCACACTGTTTCCAAGAAGTGACTTTTCTTTCTAGCACCGAGAAAGAGCTTTCTAGCTTTATTTGATATAATAGTCCTACTTTACAGTCATCTCATTAGAAATTCCTCATAATATGCCTAATCTAAATCTCTTCTTCAACACCTTAATCCCATTATTTCCCATAAATCAGCAGACATTGACCCTTAAAAAATAAATAATAAATCATATACATACTGTATATTTAACAGATGTAAAACTTTATATCATGCTTTATCAGGTAGTATTTTAGGTAATCCCCAGTATCAGCTACCTCTTTATTATCATTTTTAAGCTTTGCCTCTAAATATACTCCCAACACCCCCAAATTTATTCCCATCTAAAAATTAGGAAGCAATGTAGACTTTGCTGACATTTCTGTAGAGGGGACAGAGGAAAGATTTATATTGTATGCTTCCCAGTGAACCACCTGAAATTCTGCTTAAGTCATTTATCTTCTCTGTAGTCCCCTTTTGTCATGGGTAGCCACCAAAGATTTCATCTTTCTCCCCCTGCCCCCAAACACTTAGCTTTTGTGTTCCCTTTTACCACTTTTCACAGAGCAATTCCACTCTTTCTCCAAACTCACATAATTCCACTTATCTCCCTAGTAGTTAACAGGAACCATTTTCCTTAGAAGCCTGTTTAGTGACCCTGTACAGTAATTAGAGCATGGCCTTGGGGCTCCTTTTGTATTTGAAGAGATAATAGTGAGAATTGTATAAAACTGATTAAAGATATTTTTTTGTTTGTTTGTTTTGAGACAGAGTCTCGCTCTGTTGCCCAGGCTAGAGTGAGTGCCGTGGCGTCAGCCTGGCTTACAGCAACCTCAAACTCCTGGGCTCAAGCCATCCTGCTGCCTCAGCCTCCCAAGTAGCTGAGAATACAGGCATGCAACACCATGCTCGGCTAATTTTTTCTATATATATTAGTTGGCCAATTAATTTCTTTCTATTTATAGTAGAGGCAGGGTCTCGCTCTTGCTCAGGCTGGTTTTGAACTCCTGACCTCGAGCAATCCACCCGCCTTGGCCTCCCAGAGTGCTAGGATTATAAGCCTGATTAAAGATATTAAGATTTCTAGTTGTTCCTCCATAGGAAGATTGGTCTGCAATTACTTAGTTTACCATTACAGATAGCAGTAGTATCTCCTTTATAATGCCTAGGCAGTTGCTTAAAAACCATGGAGTTTATACATAAGTGACATCTTTGTAACAATACTCTATATTGTTCTAAACTAGGGAACATTTCCATAACCTCAATAGATTATCTTACTGATTACATGAAGACCAAATTTAGATATTTTCTTAGTGATAGAAGACAAGAGTGCATTTTGGATAGAAATGCATTTTTCTCTTTAAATATATAAACCATGATAATGTCAATGAAGCATTCATATAAAGTAAGAAGGTTTAAGAAACCATACTGTACCATATAAGACATTAATAAATCTGACTCTTTCACTAAAATTACTTACTATTGAAGTAAATGTGAACCTAAGGACTGAGATCAAACAAAATCATTTTAAATAGAATTTTCAATACCTAGCTGATTCTAGCCCCTTTTAATAGAAATCTGTCTTTCGTGGACAGTTATAGGTGAGTTTTAGTATTCACAATATATGTGTCCTTGGTATCTATAAAAGTTGGAAATAATTAGAAGAGGTTGTATTATTATGAATGGGAGCAGCCTGTGCCTTTTTTTTTTAGGCCAAATAGTATTTTTATAGACTTGGTGAGTTTCAAAAACTATTTACCTCATTGATATAGCCCAATGAAATACTGAACATAAATATATCTTGTTGAATAGTTATGACATTGGGTATGAGATTTTGTACTTGAATATATCTTAACAAAGAATAGGTTATATATCCATTAAGCCCTAGATAAAGCTGTACTGCTATTCTTGACATTTTTTATATGAGATTGTTTTGTGGTGATCATACTTCACTAAAAGCTGTAAATAGAAACTGCCAATTTCATAATTGGTCATGAATCTCTTGAAAGCTTTTGTGGTTGCATAGGAAGAAAAAACCTAGAGAGAAAAAATTCATACATCTTTTATGTTCCATTATATTATTTTATAAAAGAATTATGAAAAATGAAATATTCTGTTACAATTTAGGTGTGGCACAGAAAACTAGGGCAACACTTACTTTTAGAAATATCAAGTGTTACTCACTGTTTCAGAATTAATTACATAATTATCCACCAGAACACAAAGATCCCAGGGTACCTTAATGGAAACACTACACTTCCAAATAAAATAATAATAATTATCACCTACTATATTCAAAGTACTTTATTAGGTATAATTTTTTAACTCGCCACATTTCTCTGTGTAAATAAACATCATTAAGAATATTAATCTTTTCTATAGTTTAGAAATAACAAAACTAAGGCAGAGAAATTGATTTGAATGATAAATTAAGCATTATGGTCTTTAATTATTTAAAGAGGCAGATATTCAATAGGAACGATAGATGTTACTAGAGTACAAAAATAGCTCTTGCAACTATTCATAAATTACGAGGTAGTAATTAATTAAAAGTATCACCTTTCTTCCAAGCCAAATGATCAAATCAATTAAAATTTTGTAAAGAATGTCACGGCTGCCTTGAGACCATTGGAAATGCCTAAGATGCGACAGAACTTACCTTAGAGTCACCATCCCAGGCATATGGTAGCCACATGAAGTTCGTTGTATGTCATTAAAACCATGGGACTAGGAGGTTGAGGAGATGTAATAAATTGAATGTGACAGAGTTTGACTGAGGGATAAGTCTAGGTTTACACACCACATCTTGCCAACAGAGCAGTGCTTTTTCCAGTGAAACAGTAGCTGTTTGTTACTGTTTTCAGTGAAACACTTGCAGTTTGTTAAGATGACCATGAAAAATTGTTATACAGAAACTATGGCCCTCCAGAACACTTGGTGCCCCATTTTTGGACTGTAATCACTAAGGTGAAAACTGCCATTGGAACAGATAGTTATAGAGCCAAGGAAAGCTAACACTGTCCCTAAAAAAAGTGTAGCAAAAAGTCAAGGTGAAATGTGACTGTCGAGGCGTAAGTCATAAAGCCTACAAAGCAAAGGGATGTTCTCTGATATAGTGTTCCAGAACTGCAGACTCATTAGCCAGAAAAAAAAGGTGTGATTAATGCCCATTTGGGGAGAATCTGAGCTAGAAGGAAGCAAGCCAACTAAACTTCATTTGGGGAGATAAGTAAGACAAATCGTGACCTTGCAATGATCTGAAACAGCTCTACTATAAGGCTGTTTGAGCAAAAGAATGAATACATTCTAGCCTGACTCTGCCTTGGTGCCCTGAAATGGTTGGATGTGGAGAGAGAAAAGTGCTTTGAGGTTTCATCGCAGAAATATCTCTGGTGAATGGACAGCTGCTACAGGGCCGACATTTAGGTTAGCTGCATATTTCTTATGCTATTGAATTTATTTTATATGGTGAGAATGTCTTTGTCTGATGTTACCCATTGCCTGAGATAGTGATGCACAGTATGTGTGCAAGTTCTGAATTCACTTGGGTATTAGAGTTTAATGGGTATAAAATATTTTTTCTGAATATAGTTTGCTCCCAAAGTTGGTATCATTCACTTCTTGGTGATAAAGATGTTTCATCTTCTCGATAGATAGATAATTGGAAAAAAATTCCCCACTGTCTCACATACCTCTCTAGTTGAAGGCTAAGAATTTGTTGAGATACCATTTATTCATTATCCACCAATCCTTGAGATACTGAAACCTGAGTTTCCATTTGTATTAAACTTCTACTCAGCTGGCAAGACATTCTTTTTGATGGTACAGTGTTCAATGATGTGCTTATTCTTGAACCTAAGAATCAAAGAAATAAAAGAACATAACTTAAAAGGCTCAAACTTCACATCAGATACACTGACAAATGAACCATAACATCTAATTCTAAAATTATCATTAACAGAAGCATGGTTTTTAAAAGTTTCTAAACATATACCAAAATAAAAATAAATATTTGAACTCAGTTGTTATATTGAATTTACTGAAGATCAGATTTGTCAGATCACTCATCTAAGTTTTGTGCACTTAAAAGTGCACTTAAAATATGAACCTGTGGATGCTCTATGTTTTTGCATTTCTAAGGATAGAGAAAATGTGTAGTCTTTTATGCATATTGTGATATAGTGGGTACTTTGTAACTTTATGCAGTGTCTTATTATTTATACTTAATTAGAAAAATAATTTAAAAGTCTATTTAAAATACATGTATATAAGCTGTGCAATTCTAAGGAAAATTCAGACTGAACAGACTGTGGCCAGTTAAATTTGTCTTTCCATAGAGCTGAAAAAAACAAATGTTTTTTTCCTTTGCTCCCCTAACACCTTCTAGATCTTCTTTTGTGGATAGCATGCTATTCTTCCCTTTTGCCTTTCCTGTCTATTGTAATTTAGGTACCCTCTTTTCCAGCCTCACAGTGAATGGGTTCTTGCTTTTTATCTTCCTCCTCCCAACTTTTTTTTCCTCTCTGAATACATTTCACAGACGACCATCTTCCAAAATAACAACATCAATTAATTTTTTAACTTAAAAAAAAATCTTCTTTAGCCCTGAGTCTGCCCTCTCCATTGATGTGTAGTGCGCAGAAGAGGCTGTGCGGGGATGATAAGCCCCCGTTCGTGAAGGCTCTTCAGTGGGAGGCATTTGACGTGCTCATAAACGGCGCCGTTTATTCAGCCAGCCCCGGCTCTAGGTGAGCTGAGGAGATGACCCACGCATCTCACAGGTCTCCGAAACTGAGCCACGAGACAGCCGCCGAGGGACGGAAAGCAGCTTTACTTCTGTGCCCGAGACTGGAAATCATTCTTCCTTTGTTTTTGTTTTTGAATAGACAGTGTTTTGTTCCTTGATGTTCTCTCTCAGTTAACTATCATGGTTTCTCACCACACTCCTGTCCCCTTTGGCAGAACCTGATGATCTCCGAGGGGAACCTGTACTCAGCCATCAGAGCGCTACTGTCTCCCAGGATGCTCACAGTTCCATGGTAGACGCAGGTGGAGTGGAGAGCATCCCCCCGCGCCCCCAGGAGCTTCCTCAGATGATGGCTGCAGGTAAATGCCGGTGGCCGGCACAGGACACAGAGGAGGCTTTTCAGTTTTTGGTGGAAAGGCTTGCCCAGCCATGAAAAATATGCATTGAACCAGGAGCCTGAGCCCTTAGAGAAATCAAGCCCTGAGACTAATGAAAATAAAAGAGCATTAAGTCAAATTTGACACATTCTGCTGGGGTTTTTTTTTAAAGCTCTATGTTATTCATTTTTAAATTTCATTTATTTATTTATTTTTTACAAAAGTCAGTGTTTATAAGAAATACATTGGAAAAGTTACTTTAGGTAGACACCTGCATTTCTTTAATGTAATGATATAAAAGTTTGTAAAGCAGGGAATATATTGTAAGGTAACAATAAATTCGGTCAGTACCAGTTTTGCTACTTGACAATTATTTTTTTTATTAGATAGTTAGAAGGCATGCCTGCTCAAGAATTACACTTGGAAACAGATGAGTTTATTTATTCTTAGGCTACTAAGGCAGTTAACGTGTTTTACCAAGAGGGTATCACTGCTTTGCCTCTCTACCTTGTAACTTAACCAATGTTGTTTCACTGGGAGAAGAAAGAGATTCTTCAATTTTTCCAGGGGTACCTCCTTAGTGACATGCTATAGATAATATAAACTACATGTCATTAAGTTTCCTCCCAGAAAATATTTAGAAACAGTTTATGTTTATGGCTAGAGAAAACAATACTATAGGTTTCAGTGCTTTATTTTAGTTTAGTTTAGTTTTTGTGGTTTGGGAATATGCTAAATGAAGCCTCACATCTCTAGAAATGTGATTTCCTTTAAAACAAACAGAGTTGCCTGTTGATTCTAAGTCATGGTTTGTTTTTCCCCACAGCAGCCGATGGTTTGGGAAGTATAGCGATAGACACAACCCAGCTCAACATGTCCGTGACAGATCCCACGGCGTGGGCCACAGCCATGAATAATTTGGGCATGGTTCCCGTGGGGTTGCCTGGGCAGCAACTCGTGTCTGGTAAGCTTTCTCCTGGTCTTGAAGATGCTTGCAGCAATGCCAAACGGTGTAGGTGACAGGTGCCCGGTAATCTCTCCGCACAGCAAGTGTTGAACATGGTCTTTGATTTATGACTGGGGCATGTTTGGCAGGTTGTGCTTGAGATTCTTTCCCTCATCATTTTTTTCTCCTGCCCAATAGCCGTTCTCAGAAAAAGCCACCCTAACTGTTATTGCTATACACAGCCTTGCAGCATCAATTGTATTTTTTAAATTGGTAAATAGAATGGCTCATATTTGCTTTCCAATTTACAAAACTCATTCACGTGCATTATCCCATTTGATTGCACAGTCTTCTCTTTGCAATAGGTAGGCATTTATTTTTGTTATGGCTCCTGTTAATGTTTTCATTTTACAAATAGGGAAACAGAAGACCAGAGTTTAGGTAACTTTTCCCTCATTGAGGAGGCATAGCTACTAACTCAGCTCAAGTGACACTAAGTTCCACATTTTCTGTCAACCACACTTCAGAATCATAATATAATGCATTTAATAGAGAAAATGTTTAAAAATATCATAAATTCAAAGGTCATTTAAAAGATTTTATTATTTAATTTAGCACATGTTTATTGAGGATTTTACGTGTGCCTTGTAAAATGTACTTTGGCAGATAGAATAAATATATACATATATGACTATCCTTGAAGGGCCTGTCTCTCTAAATTGAAGAAGAAAAAAAAAAAAACAGCAACTGAAAGCAATAAAAATAATGTGTAGAATCAGGTGTTAAATAGCAGTGCAGACTGGTAGTATAGTATGTAGTAATTTCCAGATCAATCACTGGGGCTCTGAAGAAAAATGTTATCAGGAAGGTGGGCTTGAGCTACGTCTGGAGAGATAAATAGAATTTGCACAATAACTCACTCACTCATTCATTCATTCAACAAATAGTCATTGAGCTACTCTCCTGGGGGCAGGGACTCCAGCAGTAAGCAAAGCAGGCATGTTCTGCCCTCCCAGAACCTGCAGTGGGGAAGCGACAGTCAGCTCTCGTGCTGTGGTCATTGCTGTACGGCAGAAGAACAACTCACTTTTGGCCATCAAGTTAGGTGAGCACAGATGGTGTTCACTAAGTAGAAACCAGTTACTTTTGGAATGTTAGTAAATTCTACGCTCAAAACTTGTGTACTTTGTGCTGAGTTGGCCACATATTTAGTTTCTTTTTTTGTCAACAGTGGCCATAGATGAAAAATTCTAAATTAGCTGTAGTAAATTATAAATATATATGTACATATATATATACACATATTTCAATGTGTGTGAACATATATGTATACATGTACACATACATATATAAAAATATATATTTTGTTTCTTTTTTAATATAACAAGAAAGAACACAAGAGTGGAGAGCAGATAGGGGAAAGTAGGAAACAGAGGCAAAAGGAAAGATAAAGATTGAGTTATAAAACATTATATTTAGGATATTTACAAAATTCTCCAAAATGCTATCAAATTCATACAATTGAAGATTAGTCTGCTGTGGGGTGTGTGTACATAAATGACATTTTCTCTGGTTTGAACATGTGTTTATCCAGGTCCTTTTCTCCTAAAGGTAACTTGGACAGATATTGCCTTCTAAGAACTGAAGAGTAAAGATATCTATTTTTCTACCCATGTTTTCCCAGCTGCCTAATTGAAATGTTTCAGATATCAGAAACTGCTTTACTCTTGTCTCACCTCCTACTTCTCTCAGAAAATGTTGTGTGACTTCTAGAGTAAGCCCAAACCTTAATAATTTCATTATTTTTCTTACGATTTCGAGTCTTTTGACATTTTAACCATGACCAATTTCCGATTTTCCCAGCAACTTGCCATGAAAAGAATTACAGCCCTCCTCGTTATAGAAGATTTACCGTATCTGCCCAGAATTACATTCTCTGTCTCCTGTATTAGCCAAATTGCTTAAACTATTTTTGAGCCTTTCTGGGTCTTTCTGGGCTTTGACTTTATCCTTTCTGCAGCCTGACAACTGAACTGCCCTTGGCACTGTTCTCAGGGCCACTGGCCAACTACATTTGTTGACACAATTTCAAGGTCAGCTTCTGTAGTGTTTAGTTAGTGCGTATATATTTTCTTCCAGTCTTTTTTCTACATATTTCAATCATATTGAATATAAAATTTTCAGTTATGGATTTTTCTTAACATCTATCTAAACTATTTTTTCCACTTTATTCTTTTATATTAAAAAATTTTAAATATATCAAGTAAATTTTCCCTAGTTTACTTAATTATTCTACTGTTTACATGGAGGCTGTTTCCATTTTTTCACTTTTACTAGGCAGGTTTCTTTAAGGAATTTAATGTCTCTGAACATGCAAAAGCATTTTACTTTTTCTATAAAATGGTGATCATATATATTTCACGGAACTGTTGTGAAATTTAAATGGGGTATCTTACATAGCCTCCATAGCATGAGTATACATTAAATGTTCCTCTTATTCCTTTCCTCTTAATCCCACCTTTCTTCCTTTCTATTCTTTTTTTTAACAAATAATATTATAGTGAACATTTTTATGCATAGGGCTTTATAGCAGTTAGAATTATTTCCCTTGGGTAGACTTTTATATGTAGAACTAGTAGGTCAAAAGAAATGAACATTTTAAAGTTTCTTGTTATGTACCAGGCAATTAATTTCCAAAATATACATGTGTATTTAATAGTTACTAATTTGATACAGAAAGATGGCATCCTATTATTCTACCTTAAATTCTTTTACAACTACCCTTGTTTATTTCCTTTTATCCCCTTCATTTTCTATTCATATTTTCTCTTTTATAAATAGATTATTCTCATACTATATCCATTTATGAGATATGGTTCTTGGTAAGTTTTTTTTTTTATGAGTTTATATTTGGGCATTTGTTAAGCATTTCAATCCTTGGACTTCATATTTCCTAAAAATATTTATCTAGTCTATTTTTTTGCTTTTAATGTTGGTTCTTTTAAAATAATTTTTGTATTTAATTTTCCCTTTATGAGTCCTTTATTCCATTTCTAAATACTGAAAGATTTGCCTACTCTGAAAGTTGTAATATTCACAATTTTCCTTGCCCCCATTGACATAATTCTACCTTTTATTAGAAATTAAATTCCTATGTATATTTTTATCTATTTCTGAAGTATCTATTCTGTACTAGTGATTTACCTATTTTTAATGCAGCACCTCGTTGTTTCAGTTCTTAGAGTTTGATGGCATATTTATATGCAGCATCCTCTGCTCTTTTTACTGTACCTGGTGTGTAGTACTGTTGTTTCTTTTGGTGTTGCCACAGAGGCCCGGGATGCTGCTTCCTGCTCTGTTGTTGCACCAGCCACCTCCGGAGTTGCTCAGTGCGACTGTAGAATGTTAGAGGCAGCCTTTAATGTTTCAGCAGGGACTTAAAGATTATTTAGTGAAACCTTCCTTCCAAGAAATCCTCTCTAAAACATCTCTGACAGGATTATGGAGAGGCTGGATTTTATGAGTACTTGGCTTTCCCCCAAAGTTTGTGATATTTCTGAATGACCAACCACTCTTCCCATATTTGTTAAAATTAAACTGACACTAAATCCCATTCCGCACTACTTCTTCAATTTATTGAGAGATTAAAATTATCAGCAAAGCAAGGCATAAATTTTTCATATCCTCTGATTTTATCAAAATAACTTCCCAGGAAATCGAATCCCTTATGACTGTCATCGCCCGCCTTCCCGCCATGCTGCCTCGCTCGCCCACAATTACACCTTTTCCACCTACCTCTCCTTGATTGGCACCAAACGTTCCCATGGTGATTCCAGTCCCACTTTTACGAGCTTCCCTGTTTACCTTCTTCATGGGAAATGCTACTTGAGATCATGACATGGTATTTGTTCCTCTTATCCACAATATACTGTTATGCTGTTATACCTCAGTCCTGCATCCCACACTCCAAAGTCTTGGCTGCTCTATGAGATATTATCTACCCCCATATACTAGTGTTTCTTTGTTTTAGTTTTGTGAAGTTTGTTGCCACTGTTGGTGTATCTTTTTGTTATCAATACTTTGTGCGTTGGTATAGACGCACAAAGGCTTTCTAAACCAGTCTGTTGGAACATGAGTATCCCACAGTTGTTGGATACAATAGTTGTTAGGTAGAGTGGATGTCACATAAGTACTTAGGTGGCCCAGCAGTGGTAGCCAACTCTGGGTTAAACACAGGTAAATTGCTTTCTTTGTGGGTTTTCTCAGAGCCTTTACTATACTAACGTGCAATAAGCAGTTTTCAAAGAATCAGATCTAGTATGTAGGACTCCCTGAACTTAATTTATCCTTTAAAAACATACCTCTTTGCATCTCATGACATACTAGAATACAGCCATCTAAACCAGATTTTTCCTGTTAATGGTGAGGATTCTTCTCCACTGCCACATATCTTTCCATGCCATATTTAATATTCTCTGTATGACCTAGTTTATAATTTTGTTTGTTTGTTTGTGCTGAACAGTGTCACTCCCTAATCTCAAGTTTCAAAATAACTCTCTTGGGGTCATGTGTTGCCTGAAACCTTCTTCTCAGTTTTCTGTGTCCTTTTCCAAGGGCCCCCACCTCTGGCGTCACAATCCAAAATCTAGAATATCAAGTCCTGAGCTTTGACACCATCTGTGTGACCAGCTGCTCCCTTCACATATACTCTGGTGTCTTTCCCAAACTCATAATCACCTGCAAGAAGATTTGAACAGTGGGAGCTGAGTCCTCAGGTTTTAAGTTTCGTGCCCAGGACAGCTTGGGAACTGGTGGTACTTTCTGGATATTCTCTGGCCATGAGATAACACCTTGCTCTTCTCTAAACCTTCTGGAATCTCCTTTCCTAGTGTCAACAATCTTTCCATAGCTGTATTGACCTTAGGTTGATACATATCTTTTACGGCAAGTTTCTGAGTATGCCATTTGTCATATTTCAAAGACACCTTCTGAAAGGGCATCACACCTCCCAGCTAGCTACAGTTGGGGGGCATACATGAGACAGTGCCACATCCTTATTGGTGATTAACTTAGAGCCAGCAAAAGACTTCCTAATGCTTGCAGGTTGTCTATTAGCACTCCTAATTGTTCCAGGGTTCATACCTTGCTGTTTCTTCCTCAGAAGCTCTGGATTCACTTTCATTGCTTTCATTTCCTGCCACCCTAAGAAGGACTTAGCTTTCTAACTCATGGGGAGGCTAAGATGGGTTACAGTCCCCTTCTGTCATCCTCATTACCCTTGCCCATTCATGTATGTTTCCACTTGTTTTAATCCTTCTCTGCTTCCTCAGAATATTTTTTTTCTACTTTCTTTCCTAGGTTGTTTAATCCTCCCAGGGACACCTTTATCCTCTTTAATATGCCCAGATATGAAGAGGCATTTGTTAAATCCTTTCATCTCCTCAAGCATCACTCTTTTAACTGGGATTTATTGAGCCAGATGTTGTGCTGAACACTGGGAATATAAGACATAGACCTTACTGTCATGTTGTAGCGTCTAGTAGGAGAAAGAGAAAAGAGTTAATATGCAAATGCAAATCAACACGATAAGTGGTTATGCCACTGATAGGCAAAGGGTGCTGTGGGATGTCACTGAAGAGTATTGAGCAGAAGAGTAGTAAGGTTAGAATTATATTTTTACACATCATGTTTGCAAGCCCTAGAGAGGACTGTTGGGAGGAGGGAAACATTGGCAGCCAGGAGAGCAGAGAGAGAGAATGATGGCAGTAGTGCCAGTGATGACCCTGGTAGTGGAGATGCAGCAATGTGAGGGGACTCTGAGACATCGAATTGCAGCAACAACAGGAAATGTTGACTGAGTCCTCATGGAATGTGAGGAGAGGTAAGAATCGACAGTGACTCCTGGCCTTCCAGCCTTGGAAACTAGGGAAATGGTGAGGCCCTTTACCAAGAAGAGAAGGTGGGCACGGCTAAAAGAAAAGAATGGTGGAGGAGATGTCTAGTTTCTTTCTGGATGTGTTGGGTTTGAGGAACCTGTTGAAAGGAAGCATACAGTGAGCAGTGAGATTTATGGGTCAGCAGCTCAGGAAGGGAGGGTGGATAGAGACGTGGCTTTGGCAGCCACAGCACATGGATGGTTACTGACGCCCTGGGGACCTTAATGCCCAGCCACACTTCTGCTATGAAATGAGTAAAGGGCCCTCAGCTGCTCACCCAGTGGTCTCAATCTAACCTCCAGTTGGGTCTCCAAATCTCTCCATCTATTTCCTCTCTGGAGTCCCACTAGATTCCCACTATTGCTGGGCTCCAAGGTTTGCAGGGAGAGAAGTGGTCAGAGATTTTTAAAAAAAAAATGTGATCTTGGAATCCTGCCTGATTCCCATCTCTTCAGTTTACAGAGACACTCAGGACTGTCTGTGGATAACCCATCCCACATACTCATTTTTAAAATGGAAATAATACTCATACTGGCAAACTTCTGTTCTTTAGTCCCCTCAGATATTAATGGTGACACTCTCTGACATAGACATGATTAAGGGACACAGGCAACCTGGTGTATAGCAGTGAGGCTTTCTCTAAAATACATGTTCAGAATTCTCTTTTGTTTTTATTTTCCATCTTGTTGAAAGATTTCTCTCTATCAAGTGTCAGAAAACAAATAGGCCCTTGACTTGTGTTTCACAATTTATGTACCTGATTTCATTTATTTTTGACAGTTCTGTTACACTTTGCACAGTTATTTACCCTTTTCTCACCAGGACATTAGGACAGTACATGGGTATATTTATTCATCACAATATTACTGAAGGTTCAAACTGCGTTTTTTGTTTTTACAAGGTACTAGAAAAACAGCAATTTATATGACAGGTGATGCTCTTATGGAGTACTTGCATTTCTAAATAAGCAGGTTGTTATCACATAATTGTATTATACCAATGATTAATTATAATTATGGGGTATTATAAAGAGGAATGGGGAACCTAACTTTGCCTGGAGGTATCAGAGGGGCTTCAGAAAAGGCTCCTCTAAAGAAGTAATATTTAAGCTAAGACCTGAAGGATAAATTAGAGCTATCCAGGTAGCAGTAGGGAAGAGCAGGAAGACATGGGGAATTTGGAAAGATAAGAAAATTCTTAAAGCAGAAAATGCCCTATGCAGACCTGAAATGATAGTAGCTTGTCTCTTTCAAGCAAGAGGAAGGTGGGTGTATGTGAGCAGAAGGGGCTGGTGGGGATGCTGGGGCTTGGCAGGGTGGCGCTTGACATGAGTCTGGAGGGATAGGCTAGGGCTAGATCATGCCTTCCAAAGTATGGAGTACAGATTTTATTTGAAGTGTAAGCTATTGAGAGATTATTTGGGTTTTTTTTCTTTCTTAAAAAAAAAGTACCTGAATTGTTTTTCTAGAGATTGGATTGAAGAGTGGCAAGAGGGGAGGCTGGGTTTACATCTAGGAGGCTGCTGTCCACAAAGAGGTGCTGGAAGCAGATGGTCTAGATACATCCAGGTGGGACTGGAGTATGGAGCACCTGCCCCGTGCAGGCATTGCGAGGGGTGCCAGGTATGCACACACACGCTCCTGAAACTTTCATTCTGGTGCTGAGCTTATGATGTGTAGCTACAGTGTTTCTAGAGATAAGAGAAATTATAGAAAATGGTTTCAAAACATGTTTGCTTCTGCCTATACCTTGTCCTTCATAAGGTAATTGACATCACTTAAAACAAATCAAGGATTGTTCTCAAATAACTCTCCACAAATGACAATAGCTTATATCCTTGTTGGCTAGAGATATTATAAAATCTTTGTCAAATGCTTAATATAATATATAGTCATTTGAAATACAGTCATTTTTATCTTCCATGGAATAGATAAGGTAAATTTACTTGCTTTGTATTAGATTGACTTCTTCTAAACTATCAAAATATTATTTTTTTCCTTCTTTTTAGTCTACCACAACTATATTTTTTTAAATTTTATACTAGTGGTGCGCACTTCAGCAGCACATATACTAAAATTGGAACGATACAGAGAAGACTAACATGGTCCCGGCACAAGGATGGCATGCAAATTCATGAAGCGTTCCATATTTTTGATGGGAAAATTCACACCTAACGTGTGTGCTGCCCACTGTCTGGGGAATGGGCATGCTTGTAGCTGTGACTCAGGCAGTACAAAGGCAATTTATGTAACCAAAGCATTTGTACCCCCATAATATTCTGAAATTTTAAAAAAGTATACTAGTTTCCACCTCTTAATTAGCATAATATTTATTTGCCCTGTCATATTCTGGTATATGTACTACTCACTAGCCTTTTGGACTATGCTGGTTACTTTCTTACTAGACCAAAACTAAGGAAAATATTTTAAAATAATCACATGTATATTTACTTATGTATATATATTAAGTATATACATATTACATACAATATATGATGTGTATGTGTGTATATACCACAAACACATATATTCCCTAATTTCATTAATTTGCTCTAGAGTAGAGAAGCTTCAGTATCTTTAACAGCTCCATGAAGTGAGGGGAAATATTTGCATTCCACACGGGAAAATTGTGTCCATAGAGCTGGGTGCTCAGAGGGGACATTCTAATTCAGCAGAGAACAAGAAGAAAAGCCAAGCAGTTGAATTCCATATTAAAATTAGTTTGAGTGTTCCTAGCCTGATAGAAGTGTGTGTGTGTATGTGTGTATGCATGCGTACACATTATTGTATATTGGATTTTTGTGCTGAGTTAATGTCAGAGCCTTTTATTTGTAAATGTGGAATCATTGCATAGTGATTTCTCCTCTTCTGTATCCTTCGTTTGTTTTTATTTACTTTTATTATTCTGCAGCCTTCTAATTTACTATATGTTACATACTGTGTTCTTGAATTATAAATATATCACCTTATGTGCTTATATAATGATTCTATAATTTATCTAATAGACTGTGCTGTACTTCTTCTATGGATAAGAACCATATCTAATTTATCTTTGTATTTTCTCTATCATCACACATAGAGCTGAGTGCTCAGTAACTATATAGTTGAATGAGTATATTATTTGATTCATTTATATAAATAATTATATAAAGATATATAATATCAGGAAAAGTCACTTTTATACCTGGTCCTTAGACTGGCTATGGTATAGCTTTTATGTCTTCAATCATAGTTGCACATGAAGGGTAAGCACAACCACCAATTCCCTTATTTGACATCTGTGATTTATTTTTCTCCTAATTGAGCATTATCTTTCCAGATTACCTCTTTTTTAAAACTGTATCTTCCCTGTCTTTTCTTATCATGCTTATGCTTTCATCCTCCTCCTTGTACATATGGAGCATATTTATAACAGCTGTTTAGTGTGCTTATCTACTAATTCTTTTATCTGTGACACTTCTGAGTCTCCTTTTCTTGATTGATTTTCCCCTGTATGATGGGTCTTATTTTTCTGTTTCTTTGCATGCCTATTAATTTTTTATTGGTTGCCAGACATTATGAATTTTATGTTGTCAGTTGCAGGATTTTTTTGTTGTATTCCTTTAAATATTTTTAAGATTTTTTTCTGAGATGAAGTTAAGTTCCTTGGAAATAATTTGATTCTCTCAAGGCTTGCTTTCATACTTGGATAAGTGGGTCCAAAGCAGCCTTTAGACTAGAGGTAATTTAGTCCAGGGGTGGGGAACCTGCATCTTTAAGACCACATGTGGCCTTCTAGGTCCTTAAGTGCAACCTTTTGATTGAATCCAAATTTTACAAAACAAATCCTTCTACTTTTATTAATATATTTTTGTCTTTTATATTTTTATTTTATTTTTACAATGAACATATTTAAAATACCAAAGAATAAAATAAATTTCAGTGAAATATTTCTCCCAGACTGACTGATACACTTAGAACATTAGTAAGCCATAAGGGCTAAATTGATGGCTGCTATACTAATGATTTATTAGGTCATTAAATATGAAATGTCTGATTTTGAATCAAAAGTGAGTTTATTATATCTAAAACGAGAGGCAGTACAGTTAATCAAAGTATGCACATAAGCTATCAACACAGTTTTCCCATCTTAACGGTAGCTGGTTTATGCCAGTAGCTAAGAAGCCTGGAAAGCAAGCGAGTGGTGATGAAATCATGAAAGGCGTTTTCCACAGCTTGTTGAGAATTGAATATTTTTCCTTGTAAGAAGTGCTTCAAAGCCTAGAAGAAGTGCTAGTCAGTTGATGCAAGGTCTGATGAATACAGTGGATGACAGAGAGCTTCCAAGTCCAACTTTGTAGTTTGAACAGCATTGTTTGTATGACATGCGGTCTTGCAAGAGGATTAGACTGTCTCTATTGACCAATATCAGCAACTTAATCACAAGCATCCTCATCGTTTCATATAATTGGTTGCAGTGGACATCCGCTATAATAGAATGACCAAGTTTCATGACTCTATAGTGAATAATACCAGCACTGGACCACCAAACAGACACCATTAGCTTTTTTTGATGAATATGCAGTTTTGGACTGTTTTTTGGCACTTCATCTTTATCCAACCATTGTGCTGAATGCTTGCAATTGTCAAAAAGAATACAGTTTTCATCACACATAACAATACAGTATAGAAATGGTTTGCCTTTATGTCATGACAACAAAGAAAGGCAAACTTCAAGATGATTTCTCTTCTGATGCTCATTTAATTCATGTAGTACCCATCTATCTAGCTTCTTTACCTTGCTAATTTGTTTCAAATGGTCCAATATTGTTGGAATAGTAACATCAAACCTTGCTGCTAATTCACACATAGGTTGAGATGGATTCGTTTCCACTACAGCTTTCGGCTCATCATTATTCACCTTGGTCTCAGGTTGCCCATATGGCTGATTTTTAAAATCACCAGAACAGAACTTCTCAAACCATTGATATACTCTGTGTTCATTAGCCATATATTTCCCAAACACTTCATTGGTATTTCTAGCTGTCTGTGCTGTATTGGTTCCATGATGGAACTCATATTCAAAAATAACATGAATTTTTGACTTATCCATGGTTTCATAAAAATTGCTCTAAAAAACATTTGAAAAATAATCGCAAACCAAAACGTACATTTGAAAGAATGAAGATGTACCTTCACAAAAAATAAAAAGTGTCAAAGTGAAATGTCAGAGATATCAACTGTCAAACTTAGTACTTAAGGAAATTGGACATTTCATAATTAATGACCTAATAGTTCTAACTTTCCCTGCCTGATTGATGCCACTACTGCACGAGGCTGTTAGTGAGTCTTTTGGGGGGTCGTGTACACTACTCTGTTATCAACTCTTGACAATAGTGCACTGTGTTTCTGTTTGAAGTAGAATTTGTGAATAGTTGTACAGCTCAACAGTATTTTTTAATTCTGTCTGCTTAATAGCCCATGATGTCAAAGAAGACCAAGAGAACATTGAAGGAAGACAACTGATTTTTATTGATGATTGTGAATTGCAATATTATCTTGTTTCTGCTAAAGATAAGATGATTTGCTTGCTTTGTGATAGTGCAATATCAACATTAAAGAAATTCAATGCTCATAAGCATTGTAACACTCATAAGGACCATAAATATTTTGTTTTTTTTTCACGTCCCACATTTTATTTACATTTTAAGACTAACTTTAATCTCAAAATCACATATCCGTACACCTATTTCCTTTTTCTTGACTTCACTTAAACTTAAATGTGTGGTTTGTTAAACAAAGACTGTAAACAAATATTTACCATGTCTGTTACATGTAACACACAGGAACAGCTTTTAACAGAAACTCATTAAAACTCCCCACATTTTTTATTATAAATACAGGTATCAAAACAATCCTGAACATATTTTTGATACTAGTAGTCAGCACCCACACTGCTTCAAAAATTAACACAATTTGTGACAATATTCATTGTACCTGCTACTTTAAACAATGTCAACTGCAGCCCTTTCACTAAGCAAGATGGATAACGCATGCCAGTTCTGTTTTTCCTTCTTGGGATTTTTACTTTTCAGAAACACACATGCTTCCGCTGCCATCTGACACCTCTTCACACTTTCATCTTGTAAACCTGAATTCTGTCTCGAGTATTCCAGGTTTATGTTTAAATGACAATGCATTAACAAGAGAAAAAAAATTGTGCTGCATTTTTCCTCCTGTTACCTGAAAACATAATGGGTGTACATATATTAAATATATTCTTATTTAATACAAATGTCCAGGTTATGTTTACCAGGTGGAATTCTTTTACTTAATGTGTGGGTATTTTGCATTGTGATATTTAATCAAGACATTAACATGAGTAGAAGGTTGTTGATCAAAGATAAGTTTGAGATCCACTAAAATTAATTGTTGTAAGTTTGTCCTTCTGGTGGCTGTGGAAGCTTCATATTTTCTTTGGACATCATTAGATGTCTTAGCTCTTGAAGTACAGCTTTAATGCTATATGAATTTTGCCATTTTGCTAACACTGGTATGCTCCTTGCATCCACCATCCCACTGGAATTATTTATTCCATTCATATTAATTTTGTTACAAATCTAACTGATGGAGGAGCTTCTGGGTATTTAGATCCACATTCTACTTTCAAGTAGTATGTTCTGTTTTCATAATTTGTCCTTGGTGGCCCAATAATCATGCCTGTCCACCTTGTAAGTGTCATATCTTCATCATCTTCTAGGCCCCAGCTAACCGTACCATCGCCTACTCCTTTTTGTCCTTCTTCAAGTTCTTCCAACAAGCAAAAATTACAAGGAACTTTAACTGCTGTGGAGACCGCCATCTTCTCCTTCAGCCCCCATAAATATTTTAAATTAGGGGGAGAGATACAAAAGGTTGTATTTCAGAAATTAAAAGATGAAAAGTAAGAGCAAAGATAATTCTTTCAAGTAGCGATAAGACCTGGAAATAATACCACTGAAACAACTTAGAAAGTAGCTGATATACTTGGGAAAAAAGGGAAGCCATTCAGTGACATAGAAATTGTGAAAGAATGCATTGTCAAAATTGTAGGATGCTTAGACCCCAGTGTTTCAAAGTACAAACAACTGCCTTTTCATGGAGAACCATAACTAATCAGCAGCATGAATTAGCCTTCAAGTTAACAGAACAACTTCATGTAATACTTCAAAAGGAAAACATACATTATTCAATCTTGTTGATACTACTGACTTGGTATGGGTTTTACACTTCATTTGGGTCATAACAGAAGATTCTCTTTGCTACGAAGTTACTTGCTTTGGGCGCACTTGCAAATAGAACACAGGGAATAGATATCTTCAATAACTCTCAAGAGAAATGTGAAGTTGGACTGAATTTGGTAAACTTAGTGAGTATATGCTTAAATAGTGTACTTTCCATGACAGGAAAACATGAAGGGTTTATTGCAGAGATAAAAAAAAAACTATTAACAGATCCAGATACTCTCATTTCTTTTCATTTTATCTTGTCTCAGCAAAGTCTCAGTGCTAAAGCTACTATTTTAAGTGACACTTTGCAACAAGTTATAAGTGTTGTTAACTATATTCCTGCAAAGGCAACAAAGCATGGTAGGTTTTGTAACATGTTAAAATTAACCAATGAGGTATTCAGCAGCAGTCCCCAACCTTTTTGGCACCAGGGACCAGTTTCATGGAAGGCAATTTTCCATGGATGGGGATGGGGAAGATGGATTCTCATAAGGAGTGTGCAACCTAGATCCCTTGCAACCACAGTTTACAGTAGGGTTCATGCTCCTATGAGAATCTAATGGCACTGCTGATCTGACTGGAGGCAGAGCTCAGGCGGTGATGTGAGCAGTGGGGAGCAGCTGTCAATACAGATGAAGCTTTGCTCACTTGTTCACCTACTGCTCACCTCCTGCTATGTGGCCCTGTTCCTAGCAGGCCAGGAACCAGTACTGGTCTGTGTCTTGGGGATTAGGGATTACAGGTATTCAGTGTGAATTTGCCATATCATTCTAAAGTGCCTTGGCTATCCCGGGGACAGGTGTTAGCCAAAATTTTATCTCTGTGAGAACAGACAGTTAAATTTTATGAAAAACAGAATCAGCAATGTGAATTATTAAAAGAAAATTTCTATAGGTATGGAGCATTTCTGTGTGATATCATGTCAAATCAAAACGACTTGAATATTTCTTTGCAAGGTAGAACTAAGGATTTATATGATATGTGGCAAAAAAATAAATGCAAGCATTTCTAAAAGCTATCTTTTTTCAAAACACTTCTTCTTCAAAAGGAAATTTCATATGAACACTTTCCCCAGTTAGCAAAGGTCATTGATGAGCAGGATGCTATGTGTGAGTCATTTGAAGAATACGCAGCTGTTACAGACCTACTTATTGGAGAATACAATGAAACGTTCACTGACTTTGAGAATCATGACGTCACACTCAAGTTAGCATTTCAGCCTCACCTAGTTGATATCAGCAAGTCACCTAAAGAACTACAGATGGAACCGACTGAGCTCTCAATAGATGACATTTTAAAGTCATTGTTTAATGCTAAGAAGGATCCAGTTAAAATATGGAAAAATGCAGTAGGATACACACGCCTTTGGCAACATGCCTGAAAAATGCTTTCTTACTTTTCAACCACTTATTGATGCAAATCTACATTCTCCTACCTAACCCAAATCAAGATGCCCTTAAGTTCACAAGCGGCTGATATCTAGCTAGAAGATTAACTGAAACTGTAGACTTCCATGCTGCCTCCAAATATTCAAATGCTTTCCAACAAAAAGCAGACACAACAAAGTCATTAAGAGGCTTGTTAACATTAAAATTAACAAATAGTTTTAATTTTTTTAAATTATTAAGTACATAGTCGTTATATTTTTATAAAATAATGTACATTTTTAAGTATGTCTAATTGAAGTTTCTTGAATGCTGCCTTATGTGATTATAGCTAAATTAATGCAGCCCTCCAACATGAAAAGGTTCCCCACCCCTGATTTAGTCCCACTTGTGGGGCAACACACTTCTGGGAACTCTTCCCCAGTATATTGCAAAGTTTCTCCTCTCTGGCTATTGGAAACGTGATCTATTCACTCTGCCCTTGGTGAGTTTCAGAAATTAGAGTATTTTCCACAAGCCATCTGTTTCGACATTCCCTGGTCTATAGAATTCTGGACCTTACAAAACATGAGGCCCTGGAAAGTGAGTCTGTAAAGCACATCAGGTGCTGAGCAGGCGGGGAAACAATATTCCATTTGGCCTGGAAATGGACAGAGAGGGTTTTCTGATGCTACGTGTATATGGTTTTAATTACAACATAATTTTGCCACTGAAACTTTTTTTGTTAAAGTAGCTAAGCCAAAAAGTACCTAAAAGATAGTTGCATATGCAAAGGTTAAAGTAGTGTGTTGAGTATCTACTATGCTCCAGTACTACGTGATGGTCTGAATGTCGTGTACCCCCAAATTCATAGGTTGAAACCCTACCCCCAAGGTTAGGATAGTATTAGAATGCAGGGGCCTTGGGTGGTGATTAAGTCATAAAGGTGGAGCCCTCATTAATGAGATTAGTGACCTTTAAAAGAGGCCCAGGAGTGCTCCGTCATCTCTTCCACCACCTGAGGACGCAATGAGAAGAGGTCATCTGTGAGCAGGATATCAAATCTGCCAACACCTTGATCTTGGACTTCCCAGGCACCAAAACTGTAACAATAGATAAATACATAGTAGATAGATAGATAAATGTTCTGTCGTTTATAAGCTACTTAGTCTGTGGTGTTTTGTTATAGCAGCCCAAGCAGACCTAAGGCACACAGTGTATAATCTCATTTAATCAGTTTTTATTTTGAGAAAAAGATGTCTGGGCATAAAGACAAACACCATTGAACTGTAATAAACTGTATTTTCCTCATCAGGGACATTTTCTTGCTATCCTAGAAGATACAGTTTTGACATTGAGCCTTTACTTCTGACAGTTTATACCTGTAGGGCACAATAACCCTTCATCCTGAAGGAGAAGAAGAAACACAGTGATCTCCAAGTTTCACTTTGTTTCTGACCATGAGAGCATCTTTAACCACTTCGGTACGGCGCTCACCGGCCGCGAAACCTTGCCCACAGCTGGCATTCACAGTCCACTCGATAGTCTGTGCTGTGCATTGACGACGAATCCGTTTTGCTCTTGTGTGATGAGGAAAGCTTTAAAGCACTGAAGGCTTGTTTTACTTTACAGACAGCTTTACTTGTAATGTAAATCAGAATAGGTAACATATACATATATGTTTTCATTACGTTATTTTTAAATGTTCACAATTTTATTTTGAGAAATGAAAAATTAGAAAAGTCATATCACAGCTGTCGGCTAAAGTCGACGCTCGGCTGTGCGCCTTCATATCATGGCTGTCGTCTAAAGTCGCTGTGTGTGTTCATCTGTGGCTATGACTATAGTCAACAAAAGTGGTTAAAGAACTGTACCTTATCGCACTGGATGGGCCTGGTGACCTCTGTCACTTAGTGCATCCTCGCCATTTATTCCATCTCAGGAAAAATAGGGTCAATACCCTAATATGAGGTGACTGCGTCTCCACGGTGACCCTTCACACACAGTGAATCACTGCTGATGACGGTCTCACCAGAGGCATTTCTGTGAACTGTGCAATCACTCAAAACTGCTCATTTTATACTTTCAAGACTTAGTGGCCTCTCTCTTGGAAACCATGTATTTGAGAACATCTTTTTGAATTTGTTCATCCCCAGCTGTGAGAAAATACTGCCTAGTCATGGGTAGGAAAAAGGCAATTTAGAAAAATAATAGAGGAAAATGATGATTTCATCCTTGTCTGGATTTCTATGTCATCCTTGCTGGGACTTGGCCTGAGATTCTGCAGGGGTGAGGTGGGAGCTGGGTGTGCAGCAGGCCCTGGCCCGCTGGGAAGGACATGAAAGTGAGAAAAAGCCACTCAGGGTAACAAGGGGGAAGCAGGGTGCCTCTGGCCCTGGGGAGGTGACCTTACTCCTCCTCTGCTCTGTCACTTGGTGGTGAAGTGACCTGGGCAAGTTGCACCAATTTCAAGGGCCTTGCTATGCCCAACTGTCAAAAGAGGGTATTCAGGCTCCCCTTAAAGCTCTGACTTTCTATGAATTAGAAGGAAAATCCTAAAAATCAAGAACATGAGATATTAATATGCACAATGCTAAAATGAGTAGCACCCAGTTAATACCTTGAGTAAATAAAGTAACAGTAACTTGTAACAGGAACCACAGGAGTAGTAACTCCTAATAATTAAGGTAATCCTTTTGGTGGTGATGGTGTTTTCTGTTTGTCTGAGTATTTGTTCTCTAATGGATCCAGAGAGCTCCCATAGAGTTAATCACACATACAGCCATGTAAGTGAAGAATCATTTGAAGGAACTCTCATCTTTTTAGGCTAGAAACAAGTGGCAAGAGAAGGAAGGACATACTCCTACCAGTTTGGGGGCCTTTGACTTAGCAGTAGCACCTGCTGAGTAGCCAACACCAGAGGACAAATATGAATATGAGTAGTAATTTAGATGCTAGAAATTTGATGGTCTCAGTCCAAACAGCCTTAGGAAAAAGGTGTGAATAGAGCTTTTCTTTTTTCATCAGCAAAAGGTAACTAGGATATAAATTATCCAAAATCCCAAACAGGTGGCCTTGTGTGTTATTATTTGTAATTGCTTTTCTTCATGGCTATATCTTATTTCTGAATTTATAGTTCTTTAAAGAAAATAAAAATATGAAACAGGAAAGAACAAGAAATATACATTTTTTTCACCTGCTTCCCTTTGCAAAAAGCTCATGCTGTTTTGAGCACAGTTGTTCAAAGCAAAGAGCCGGCACAGCATCTGAGCCATTCCTTTGCAGTCTACATGGGACAGGCTCTGTCTTTGAATTTGTAAACTAAGTCTTCTCTAAACGGCCTCCTGCTGGGCTCTATGCTTAGCAAAGAAGAGTAGATAAGGCCATGCTTTTTCTACTCATGTAAATGAGAATGTGAAAGCAAGATTGGGACAAACATAACTGAAGTATGGATAATTAAGAATTTACTGTAATATGGTGTCCACCGTGTGGGACCAGCTCAGTAGAAATCATAGGATTGGAGAGTTAGAAAGGACTGTAGATAACAATGTCTCATGCTGGTATTTAGTTCTTTAATAGTTTTCA